TCTCTCTCTCTCTCTCTCTCTCTCTCTCTCTCTCTCTGTGTCTCACACATACACACACACTCTCACACCCCCCCCACACACAAACACACACCTGTAAGATAATCCTATTCAGCTCCATCTTGTCCCCCAGCCCCTCGTTCAGCGCTTGCATCTTGAGCAGCGCGTCCCTCAGCGCGGCTTCCTCTGTCTTCAACTTGTTCATCTCCACTTCCAGCTCCGCCTTCTGTAGCTCAGACTTGGACAGGGCATCGCCTGTAGAGATACGCGATATCACCACTATCCAATTCCATACGGTATCCATACATTTTCACAAAATATTGATATTTTTCCATATCTCAAAATGAGTATTGATAAACTGAAATTCACCATCAATATATCGATAATTATCAAGAATGGTCACTTTTTCCAAAATATCGACGCATGAAACACGGTGGTCTTCTGTTTTTGGGCTTTTTTTACTAATTGATTTTAAAAAAAGAGAGTGACATCCAAAGAAACGGGGGAGAGATAAGGACGATAGATGTTTGATAGGAAAGAAGGACCAAACCACACCAGAGCACCCTCCAACCACCCGCGCTGAATACTTTAATATTAGCACAAATTTAGTTCTTTCACTGGGCAAACAACACGTATTTCGCTGCCACATGCAGGCGACCACAATTTAATTCATACTTTCATGGAGTATCTTGGTCTGTCAGCCAAGATGTTGTATCCCTTTCAACACAGGCTGGACCTGACAGTCAGGGTCAGAATCCTGTCTCCTAAATCCTTTCAATTGTGTCTATGGGGGCATAGAAACGACAAAAAACATACAAAAACGCCTACATTGAAAAAATGCTCAACTGTGTAACCCACTGACCGACTTCCTTGTTCTGACCGTCCAGCACCTCGCGGTCAAGCAGGGCGCGGTTCAGAGCCTCCTTCGTGGCCACCAGCTCCTCGCGCACCGCCGACATCTTGTGTTCTAGCTGTTCGATCACTTTTTGGCTGGGGACGGGGGACGGGGCACGAGGCAGTGGGAACACATTAGACGGGGCACGGGGCAGTGGGAACACATTAGACGGGCCACGGGGCAGTGGGAACACATTAGACGGGCCACGGGGCAGTGGGAACACATTAGACGGGCCACGGGGGACGGGGCAGTGGGAACACATTAGACGGGCCACGGGGCA